CGCAAGAGGGGGGCTTTAAAGGTTTTGCAAAAAATCCCCACTGAAAAAAAAAAAAAAAAAAAAAAAAAAGTCTCTAATTTGTGGTAAGATACTAGCAGTTAGAATTTTATCGTAGCTATACGGTCAAATTTTAGCAACCACAGCTCTCTGTATGTTCTGTAAATTAGACATGGTTTCGTTTTACAGTGCAGTAGAAACAATTAGCAAGCTCGTCATTTTTGACTTTCCAATTGTAATATCATGTAGGTAAATACACACTGATTTTTCTGTTTTTTTATGTCACTTTATTGACCTCTCGGTAGAAAAATATCGAATAATTCAGGCATCATTTACATCATTTTATTCAGAAATATAAATCAGCATATAGTAAAATAACAGATATGTTTTATGTTGCACATTCCCCATAACTGAAGAGATGTCTTACTTACAGAGTCGATTTAGGAATACATTTTTGAAATATGAGAAGGAGATTTGGGGGAGGAAACAAGTTTCAAGCAGTCAAGTTCGGAAAGCTCAGAAGTTGAACATCCACAAACTCCTCACATTTTTTTTTGTCCTATCGTGTTCTTACATGTGATCCATGGGAATACAAATACATTAAAACGTGTTCAAATACATGCCGTATGAAAGCTGATTTCAAAAGCAGTGATCTAACTTAAAGCTACGCTGCACAGGAAAATCTGCTCACTGCATTTAATCTAATCTGAGCATCTCTGTGCTGCGTCCATGTTTCAGGCCGACATGAGCAGCGAACGGGCGATCAGGAGAGACGAAGGAGAGAGGCTGGCCAGAGTGAGTCTCCGCACAGCTACACAAAACACACCACTGACACCACTGGTTCTGCCTCTCAACGCTGTTTGCTCCCCTTCGTTCATCCAGGAGTATTCGGTCCCTTTCATGGAGACGAGCGCCAAGACGGGAGTCAACGTAGAGCTCGCCTTCACAGCCGTAGCCAAGTATGAGGCAGTTGATACGGGTTGATGGTGGGGGGGGAAGTGTTCACCTTCTTTTAATAAGTTTATTTCGCTTTTGCTTCCACCCCAGATCAGCAAACAAATTTGAATGTCAGATAAAGGCAAACTGTGGTGGCAGCCTTCCTTTGTATTTCTCACAGTGCTGGGGGAAGGATTTGTGGAGTAATTATTTAAAAACATGTATTTTGTTTTATTTTAAGATGTTTCCAATTCATAGTTTGTTTGTTTTTTTACCTGGGACATGAGGGTTTCCAATATTTGTCATTGTTTTTTTTTTTACAGCAGTTGTTTTTGTTCTGTCCGTCAGGGAGCTGAAGCACCGGGCCATCCAGCACCCCAATGAGCCCAAGTTCCAAATTCACGAATACATCGAGTCACAGAAGGAGAAGTCCGGCTGCTGCAGCTACTTCTGAGTCTCCCCTCCAAACACAGGGTACGCAGAGAGCCGCTGAGTGGGAGGAACCTCCCTGCCACTCCCAAAAATTTTCGCTGCCATTCATGGGATATAAAAATTCACAAGTACGTCCTCGGAAGAGTCGAGGAGAACATGGAGCCAGGTATCAACGTGGACGATCCACAGTTTAACTTCTGCCAAGAAGAGATTCTCCAAACTCTCTTGTCATCAGAAGCTCACGCTTCGCGATGTACAAACCGCATTTTTAATCTAAGGGAACATTGCCTTATGAATTTCTGTACTTAGCTAGCGGCTGACTTTCAGAGCGTGAGCACAACTTTAGCCAAATTGTTGAAGGTATGCCTTTAAACAGCTGCAAAACTCACATCGTGTGCAATGCTATGCAAAAGTATCCGTACCCCTTACAGCCAAAATCATCTGTATATTTATTTTATTCACGCTTTTGGCGGCAGACCAACACAAGATGTACTTAATTGCCATATGGAGAAAAAATAATGAAACCTTTACTAGTAAAAATCCAAAAAGTCTTGAAAGTGTGCACTGGGCTTTGACTGGGCCACTCTAACACATAAATATCATGTGTTTAGAGTTATTGTCCTGGTTGATGGTGAAACATTAGGGTGGTTTCTGAAGACAGTTGATTACATTGCAATTTTTAGTCACAACAGAGTAAAGGGGTCCAAGTTCAAACGTGCGGCATACTTTTCAGATTTTATTTTGAATGCATTGTTTTTCTTCCACTTCGGAATTTCTTGCTTGTTTTATTTGACTCACTGCATAAAGTCAAACATGAAACATGAAAATGAAACTTTAGGCACAGCATTTTCTGCTGGGAGGATGTACAGTAACGCCAGCCTGTGTGGATATCCTCCCATGGATACCGTAATAACTGGGTCATAGACTAAAGTCTAGCCTCTAGCTTACCAAATAAGTCCCTTTTATTGAGAAGCCATGACACAAACGACACTCAGTTTGTACGTACTTGCAAATTATTGTGATGCTAATATTACCATGGATTACCATGGGTTAGACATTTGTAATATAGCTGGTTTACAGACGTCTTACTTTATGACGGTTGTCTGCGTGGACAATGTTTTGGTGTATTTTTGTTTCGTTGTTGTTTCAAATGCAGCTAATTGCATCGCAAGGCACTGTCGGCGAGACTCCTTTTGCCAACTTTATGTTATTTTGCGTGTGTTGAAAAATGCAAATATGCTAAAAAAAGACAAAATAAAACAAACAAAAAAAACAGAGACAAACCAGCTTCTTACTACGAATGTAAGACACAAAGAAATGAAATCTCAAGACAGGGACACGGTAAATGTGTAAAATGTTTGCAGAAATCATTTATGAACATAAATGTAAAGAAATATATATATCCTATTGAATTTAAAGAAGTTAAATTATCTAATTGAAGTTTTTCTTTCTTTTTTTTTATTCATATCAATGTGTTATTTAAATCCATTTGGTTGCAAAGACATTAGTTTCCTAAAACCAGCTGGAAGAGCTGAGGAAATATGGGATTGCACTGCTGCATAAAAATTCAAACTAACGAGCCAAAACACTCCGGGCTCTTTACATCGATCAGCTACTGGAATTTATTTTGAGTCTCCTTTTGTATATACTGTACTTATTTGTTCTAGAAATGCAGCGGACGTACTTCTAAAAATGCTCTCTGGACATAGCAACTGCAACAAACCTAAAAAAAAACACTCACGCTAACATTGAACTTGCTCAAAGCTCATGCATTTTACTTTTATTGCTAATTCTGAGGTTTGGTTCTTTTTGCATGTAAGGCTGGATTGCATGTGCCATATCTGTGCGGTTCCACTTAGAAATATATCTAAGCTAAATTCTTTTAAGTTGGAAATAAGAAAAAGAGAGATAATTAACATACCTATTAAAGTTTCAAGTCAAAGCTCAGGGTAAAGTCGTGTTGCAAAGTGCATTGTTTAGTTATAATTACGCACACAGTAAGAAGAACGAATATACAACTTGTTCTTACTAATGCAATGATCTAGCAGAGATGTTAAGCAACCTAACCAACTTTTGCATTTTCTAATTAACTGAAATAGTTATTTGTTTTTAATAGAACTACCTGTTGGTTTATTAGGACCCATTAGAGTCAAAATATTTAAATTTAGCAACTAAACCAGTGAGCTGACAGGAGCTAAGCTGCTACACAAATATCTTGGCACCAACCTCGTGTTTTAATGTGATGATTAGTGAAGCCTTAAATAAACAGTGATGTCAAAACAACACCAAAGTTTATGCAATTTTTTTTCTCCCTTCTGCGACAATATGCAAATCAATTCCCTCTGTATTTCAAATTAGACAGTGAACATCTGAATGCTTCATGGATGCTTTATGATGGTCTAACATGTGTTTGACGTGTTATTTGCTGAATTAAAAAATAAATAAATTATTTTTAACCAAACTTCCATCTTTCCAATAGTCTTTTAAGATGTGATGGACAACTGTTACCAAGGAAGCATTCCTGTGAGTTAAAGACAAACCAGGGTAAGAGTCGTGGTTTGTTTCGGATCAAGCAGCAGAACTGTTGCTCAATCATATTTTCTTTAAAGTATCCTGAAGACAGCAACCTCAGTTCAAAATCAAAAGCAGCAGAGTACAGCCAAGAAAACTATACCTCTGAATTGAGACACAGCCAGAAAGGTGAGCAGGAACGAAAGAAGAACAAAACTTCCTGTTTATCAGCCGAGCCTTCAAGATAAAAGTTTGGCCTGGGAGAACACAACCTCTTTTGGTAAATATCTTCCAAAATGAATTAGGTTTTTGCTGTGCAACCAAGATCAACATTCTTCATTGAAGTGCTTTTTTTTTTACATGCACTTTATAATTAAAACTTAATTTTCTAATACAACTCCATCTGATGGTATCTCTAAACATTTTTTTTTTAGAAAAAAATATGATGGGTTATTTGGAGACCCAACATAATTGGTGGTGTTGTCACAGAAATTCATATCTGTTGTGAATGTGTTGAAAATGGGATCCTTAAATTTAGTTTAGCTGCACATATGTTCGTTTATATTCTTGTTGTAGAAGTCCAAATGCGTAGCGAGTCAAGTAGGATTGTGACTTGGGTTTTCAACTTTCCAAACTGCATTTTCTTTCAAATACTTTGGATATCCTCAATGAAAAACCTCTTGTAAATAGACCATATTTCCACAAATAAATTGGATCCACAGAAAACATAGAAAACTCTGTGATTGGATGAATCTGTGAATACTAAATAGGAGGAGATTAAGTATTACTTGTGGAAATAATATGATACTCCATTCAAAATATATTAGTCGGTAACTTTAACAAAATGCAGCATTGCTTTGTTAAGCAAGCAAATTAGCTTATTAATTTGACATTAACAATATGGGCATATAGAATTAAGCCCAAAATTATACCGACTTATGCTAATTTAAAAATATTTAACATTTCTTCTGAATGGATGTAATATTAGTGTTTTGGACAGACCAGAAAGAGTTCTCTCTTGAATCTTGTAGAGAATCTGTGGAGGTAGCTAAAGATCATGGCGACGGCAGGGAGGTTTTCCAGCGTCAAAGAACTGGAGTTGAAAAATGAAAATAAATCATCAAAATATCAGTAAAAACATGCAAAAAGCTGCTCTGTAATTGTAGAACAGCCTGGATGTAAGGCTAGAAAATTAATTATTGAGAGAGTCAAAAATGTAAATAAGAACATAGGTTATTTTTTCAATAACTCATTTAACAGTGCATTTCCTATCAGCTACATATCCACTGTTTGAATGCACATCATTTAAAATCTAAATCTGCCATATACTGTAGGAGAATATTAGCAATATAAGACAAGGACCATTTGTTTTTTTTTTTTTGTTTTGTTTTGTTTTTTTTTGTTAGCTTGTTAGCTCTTATTTTGAAAATGTCCCTGCACGGCCTCCTCTAAATTGTTTAGCTTGATAGAGACACTTCCACGACGGAGCCAACAGAGTCAACGGATTGGAGGTGATCAACACATTGCAACACAAAGCAGAGGGGTGGATCTCAGGAAGTCTATAAAGGAGAAGGCACAACTTTTTTAGCGGCGGAAACGTTCCCCTCACACTTTTCTGCGGAAGTTTATCTCGAGTAAAGTCTGCGCGCAACAGGTGTCGCTTCTTTCTATATGGTCGTTGCGTGAAAGCTCCCAACTTGTTTTACTTGCGGGTGAAGAAGAGAAACAAAAGAAAAGTTGTCAAATTTAGCAAACAAAATGTCTCATCTTAGACCCAGGCTTTGTGTGCTGGAGAAATCGCCCACTGGGTATGGGTTCCACCTGCACGCAGAGAAGGGCAGAACCGGGCAGTTCATTCGGCTCGTGGAGCCCGACTCCCCTGCCTCCGCGTCCGGGCTGCTCGCGAGAGACCGGCTGATGTTCGTGAACGGGGAGAATGTGGAGGGCGAGAGCCATCAACAGGTGGTGGCGAGGATACGGGCAACCACGGGGGCTCTGGAGCTTATCGTAGTGGACCCCGAAACGGCGGAGCTGCTGAGCAAACACGACCTGCGGTGCCGGAAAGAATACGTGACGGAGGGCATTCCCCTGCCCGGCGGGGACAGCGACTCGGAGCACGAGGACAAGCGGAGCAATGGCTCCCCTGTCCCACGCGAGAATGGGGACACGTCCTCGGTGAGGTCGGGGAGTGTGAGCTCCAGCACGAAGGTACAGCTTAAGAGTATAGAAATATATTATATTATATTATATTATATTACTGAGCACACTTGCATTTTTAGCTTACGGCAATATTATGTCATCTCACTTTCAAGCTAGGACATAACTCTTTAGCAAAATATTCGCTGAGTAAGGTCTATTTGTAGCTAACATTACTATGACAAATCAGTGATGGGTAAAACTGAATACACCCTTGCTGCTTGATTTTAAGGGTGCTGAACAAATTCTTTAGTAATTGTTCATCAGCAAGCATGGTCACTTCCATGAAACATGGGAGTTTCGACCACTGGCTGGTCTGAAGTAAGCTCAAAGGATGGAGGAACATCAGGAATAGTTGTTTCTGATCAAACTGGGAAAGTTTATGGATTGAATTCCAAACTAGTTGAAGCCCAGATCAGGAGAACATCTGAATGAAGTACAGGAGTTTTGGAGCGTTTTCGGAACCCAAAGTTTAGACATTTGGCCATAATCCAATGTCCATCTGACATCTAATCCTTTCCAAAAATTTGACCATCCAGGGGAAAATGATTTAAAACACACCCAAGAAAAGTACAAGAAGAAAGTGTTGTTAAAGCATTAAGTAATTTTTCCAGTTTTTGCCATCATTGAAAACTGTTTTTTCCCATGACTGTATGCAGGGACAAAGATGCTCATATTTAAAGCAACCTGTCACCCAGCCTTGTGATTGTCACCTAAAGGTTTTACTGAAACAGATACTGAGCTAGGCAGTCACATCCGGAGCTGGAAAGGACTTACAGAGATGTAACGCCCCTGGGGGAAACATCCTCGGCTTCTTTCTGCTTGTGCTTCTGTTCAACAGAGTCTTTGTTTCCCAAATCTCTGTTATTGCCCCTTGCCTCCTGTCTAGAATTCTTTGTCAGGTTCGGCCTGTCTGACAAGATCATTTGTCACATCCCAAGACTGACAGGCGTCTTCAGCATCTGCTTTCCTTTGTCATCTGAATGATTTTTTTATAGAACTGAGTTGAGGTCATTGGGGCAACCCGAGTGCAGTTTCTTTTTCTTTTTGTAGCTAGTTCCTTGAAGTTATATGAGGAAGAACGTCAAAAAGGCATTCTTCCTTTTGTAAATAGAGCCTTCCTTGAACTCTTGTGTCTTCATATAAATTTGCTTCTGAAGGTTTCTATAGTTGGATATCGAATTATTTTATTTTGGTTAATCTTTGAGAGGGTTAACAACCTTCCACGGTTTTGTTGGCTGTGGAACTTCTTCAGTCAGTGCAAAGTCTGGGCCCCTGGTTTTAAAGGTTATGCAACAGGTCTGCAGAATAGTCTCATTGTGGAGGCGTTTTGGCCCTACGCAGCTCTCCAAATTGCAAGTTGTTTTTATTCATGAAACAATAGGATAATGGTTATTTTTAGCCTGCCGCTCATTTCATTAGAGCTGACGGCCAAATGAGAGTTTTGTATTGAGCGAGCCAGTAAAATACGTAAAATGTAGAACTGCATATGAAGCAGACAGAAATATGTACGATTGATTTAGATTTTTTTTTTGTCAAATGCACAAAATGTACAATTGAAATCTTACTAATGATCTAAACACTAACTTAACTAAG